AAGTAAAGAGGCTTTGCGAAGTGTTGTGAAAGAAAAATGGTCCCAGATTAAAGCTGAGGAAACAGATAAGTTGGTAAGATCAATGCCAAATCGATTGAGCGAGGTTTAAAAACAACGCGACTATCCAACAAAATATTGAATTTCATTTTTCTTTATCATTTTTAATACTTTTGTAACTAATTTTAAAGCTGAACGCAGACTTAATGATGCTTACTTTAACTTCTCCTTAGACTAAAATCCCGTTATCACAAAAATTAAAATAGGAATATACATTTTTGTTTTTGCATTTTGAACTAAAAATATAAAGAAGAAATACATGTAGAAAATTTGAACTGAATTACCTATTTACATTGTGTTTTTACTTCACTTAAAAAATAGTGTCGGGTGAACGCAGACTTTATTGGCTATGTGTATATATAAATTAAATAAAAACTATATGTCCAAAACTTTGACAAAAATGGCAGACATCTTACCAACTGACTCAGACAACAATAGGTCAAATAAAATTATTAAAAATCTTAAAAGGTTAGAGTAGAAACAAAACAAGATAAAGATTATATATAATAATAAGCCACAATTGAAGACTATCAAAAAAGGAATAAAATGTTTAAATGGGGAATAATTCAAATACACCAAAATACGAAAGGCTGTGCTATTGTAATTATAACATACGAAAACCAAAATATTAAAAAATGGCTCTAAATAGTGAGAACGAGAATATTGTTGCCAGACTAATTACCGCAACAAATGCTTTTCTTAATAAATAAATAAATCAATAAATATGAATTTACCTTTTAGAAAGGATATTCGTGCGGAAATAAGAACCTCGGTAAATACTCCAATTTGGAGCAAACAGTATCAGTATTCTTTAGCATCAAATGCTTTTGTGCAAAGAAATCGATAATATTTTAAAAATCGAAGTTCTACGACCAAGTAAAAGTCTTTATAATTCTTTAATCGGGGCGGTACTAAAAAAGAGTATCATTGAAGATGGAATTAAGAATGGTAGTGGATTTCAAAAAACTAAATGAAATTACTATTTCGTATAAATACCTGATAACAGATACAAATGTTATACTTTCAAATCTAGAAGGATCACAGTATTTCTCCCTCATCGATTTAGAATCAAGATTTTACCAAATTTTAATGAAGCCTACATCGAGTACATCGAGAAAACTGCATTTTCAGTAAATAATGGAAAATGCGAATTTTTAAGAATGACATTTGGTTTAAAGAATGCACCAAGTATTTTTCACCGAGCTATGGATGATGTATTAAGAGAATTTATTGGATAATTGTGTCATGTATATATTGATGATATAATTGTTTTTTCACGCAACTTAGACAATCATATAAAACTTTTGAATCAAGTAATCAACATTGTAGGGCTACAAACCTTTTTTTGTACCCGCGCAAATATCGAAAAAGCGAAATATTTAAGCGAAGTTGTAACAGCGATAAAATACAAAGGGCCGAGTAATGATGCTATGTGTGGTCAGTTATTAGACTAACTTTATTTGCAAAATTCTTCTCCTTAAGTAATATTCTAAGCACTATTGCAATACTGTTCAACACATAATTTCCGCTAAGTACATAGTTTCGTTTCTATTAGTGCATATATACATAAGTATGTAAGTTATATAAAAACAATTCATAAAAGGAGAATAACCCAAGTACATACCTTACTCTATTGCTCCTTCGTATATAATGTAGTTATTAACAAAAGAGAAATATAAAAAAAAATGGGAACGCAGCATTGCAAGAGGCTGCTTACATATTAAGCTTAGTACATGTTAAATGGGACAAGCTAATGTGCACAAACAAATATTCATATAATTGCGTGGACGAAAACATAGCGGTAGCATAAGTGTACAAAGCAAGCGCAAGCAAGCAATAAATATGTAAGTATGTACACAATGCAGATACAATAATTAACTGCATTGAGGTGATTGACTTCTAATGCTTGCCCTTGAATATTAGGCAAATAAGTAGAGAGCAAGAAATAGCAAAAATATATATAACATATGACCGTATAATGCATTGGATCTCAATCGATGACCCAACATCCCGGCCCCGTTGAAAGGCATTTCAAACAGGTAGAAGGGCTAGCTTGTGAATTGGTCGCCGAATGATTCCCTTCCTTGTTCGAATGTCCACGACACGCACTTTAGAGTCCTTTCCTGGAATACAGTTTATAACTCTTCCAATATGCCATTTTTGTGGTGGTAAGTTGTCTTCATGGATGATAACCATTGAGTTGTTGTTGATATTTGGTCGCTCCGTAAACCGTATCGTACTTGAAGTTCGTTTATGTATGACCACCTGTTCCAAAACATCTGTTTAATGCTTGTGATCTGATTCCATCGTTGTAGGTTGCTGATGTTAGCTGACAATCTCCGCTCTGGGAGTGCCCTAAGTGAACTACCAATATTAAAATGCCCGGAGTTAATACTTCATAATTATTTGGATCCGATGACATTGGTGTTATTGGACGAGAATTTAATACAGCTTCTATCTCAACCAGGACTGTTGTTAGTTCCTCAGCTGTGAGTCTTGCATTTTTGATGGTGCGGTCGAGGTGACCCTTAGCCGATTTGACTGCTGCCTCCCATATACCGCCGAAATGAGGTGCTCTTGGAGGAATAAAATTGAAATTTATAAATTCATTAGCACAATATTTTACAATTGCATCTTTATTTTCGGTTTTAAATAAAAATGACTTTAATTCAGCTAGTTTGCTGCAAGCACCCACAAAATTTGTTGCGTTATCGCAAAAGATGTCAGAGGGTAGACCCCTTCTTCCAATCATGCGCTTCAATGACGCTAAGAATGCGTCCGTGGATAGATGCGATACTAGTTCGATGTGAACCGCCTTTGTCGCTAGACAAACGAAGATCCCAATGTACGCTTTATAAGGTGTTTTGCCTCGAATACGCAAATATACGTTGACTGGTCCGCAGAAATCAATACCGCATCGCGCAAAAGGACGAGATGGAGTTAAACGCTCGACAGGTAACTGTCCCATTACTTATTACTTGGCTCATCAGCTTTGGCTTGTAGCGTATACAATGTGTGCACGATCTGACGATACGTCTTGCTAAATCGCGCGCATTGACTATCCAAATCTGTAGTCTTATCAGTGCTACGAGTGCCTTTGGTTCTGCATGGTAGTGTTTCCGATGTAAATGACGAACGTAATGCAGAAAAAATTCGCATTTGTTTGGCAACAGCATTGGGTGTTTCCTTTGTTCTGGAATATCTGCTGATTCCAATCGACCTCCAACCTTGAGTATGTGAAATCCTTCGATATACTGGAGAAAAGTACGTAACGGCCCATTTATCGTAAGCTCTTTCTGTAAAAGATGAATTTCATTGGCAAAATGTATGTGTTGAATATTCCAAATTATGCAAAGAAAGGCGTGATGTAACTCTTGTGGTGAAAGTGTTAATGAGTCATTAAGATTAGCTCCATGTCGAAATTTATTGATGAAGCGAAACATCCAAGCTATTAATCGAAGGCTGCTAGTGTAGTTACTTCGCTGATTCACAATTTCCAAAATGTAATTTGTGCTAACAATTGTATTGAATGATGATTTTCGTTTCTCCCTATCGACAACTTCCATGTCGATATCATCGTAGCTCTTCTTTGGCCCTTTAACTGAGTTTTCGTATAGAAACTTTGGTCCGGTGTACCATATTGAATTAACAAGTTCCTTTACAGTACATCCTCTAGAGGCAACATCCGCCGGGTTACAATGCGTTGGTACATGTCTCCAATGGGCGCCTGTGGTTAAATCTTGAATTTCCGAAATTCGATTACCAACAAAAGTCGAAAGTGTTGCAGAATGCATCATAAGCCAATGTAATACTATTTGTGAGTCTGTCCAAAGAAAAATGTTAAAAGATTTGTTAGAAATTGTTGGTTTAATTTTTGCTAAAAGACGAGCAAGAAGAAGAGTGCCGCAAAGTTCTAATTAGGGTAACGATTGTTTTTTGGTGGGTGCCACTCTGGACTTCGCAGTGAGTAGGCGAATGGTAGTAGTAGTAGTAGTAGTGCCACATTTGTTGATAACTCGAGTATATATTGCGCAGCCATATGACAAAAAATCCATGTATCTGAAGAGATTCCACATCTGTCGAAAAACAGTGCCTCGGCACTTTAATTTGTGAAAGATTCGATAAGCAGTTAAGGAATTTTTTCCAAGCAAATTCGATGTTCTGTGGCACAAATTCATCCCAATCCAACTTTAGTAGCCATATTTCTTGCAACAAAATTTTTGATGTTATAATAACAGGAACTAAAAGTCCAAGTGGGTCGAAAAGTGATGATGCAACAGAAAGGATGGAACGTTTTGTAAGTCGACCAGTCAGTGCTAGTTTGGCTTCGAACGAAAAAATAAAACAATCAAGATTTTGGTTCCTTTTTAGTTCAAGTGTACTAGTGATGGATGTATCTACGTTTAGATACTTTATAGAGTCGTCTTCTCTGAATTGATGTTAATTGGAAAGCCACTTTGTTAATTTAAACTGTCCTAATTCTAACAGTTGTATTACCTCTTGCTTTATCTGTGCAAGTTCGGTTAGAGTATCAGCACCACAGAGTAGGTCGTCTACGTAGAATGATGACTTCACGATTTTTGCGCCAATTGTAAATTGTTCTGAATGCTGTTCAGCTAGATAGAACAAACTCCGTATAGCAAGATATGGTGCAGCAGCCATTCCATACGTTATAGTATTTAGTTGATACGTGCGAATATCTTCAGTTGGTGAACTTCTCCACAGAATATACTGGAACTTTCGATCATCTTCGTGCATGAATACTTGGCGATACATCTTGACTATGTCGGCAGTGAGTGCAAACTTGTGGATTTGAAAACGAATAAGAAGAAGAAAAAGTTCGCATTGAATTGTAGGGCCAACGATCTGAATATCGTTCAATGATTTTTGGGATGTGGTTTGACAGGAAGCGTCAAATACAACTCGAAGCTTTGTTGTTGTACTTGTTGGCTTTAGCACACAATGATGTGGTATATAATAATGCGGTTCGCTGAGATTTGGATTTTTTACAACGCTCATGTGACCCAAACTCTCGTAGTCGCTCATAAATTCAACGTAGTGTGCTTTCAATTGTGGTGATTTGGCTAATCGACGTTCTTGTGCATTAAATCGTCTCAATGCCGTAGTATATGACTCGCCCAAACATGTTGGATCATCCTTCAAAGGTAATTTGACAACTATTCTGCCGCAAGGTCTTTTTGACACAGTTGAATTGTATATGTGATCGCAACTCTGTTGTTCACGAGTCCAAGGCTCTGGTATGGTAGTGATTTCTTCCAATTTCCACAACTTTTCCAATTTGGCATCTAAAGATTCATTGGCTAAAAATAAACAAGATGGGTTGAATATGTTGTTACTGCCCGTCTTATAGCGTCCCGAAACAATCCAGCCTAAGAGTGTTTTTTGCAAGATTGGTAAATTAGATCCAAGATTGATTTGTCCTACAGATAGAAGACTGAAGAACGTTTCTGTACCCAACAACATGTCGATTTTCTTTGGTATATAAAATTCATCATCGGCGAGCGCTATATTGTGTGGAATATTCCATGTTGAAATATTGATTTCAGGATCTGGTTGATAAGCAGTGTGCGATGTAATGCAAAAAGGCAATGAAAGTTCGAAAACAGTGACTTGCGAGTTGATATTTGTTGAGGTTTTGAATTTAATATTTGTTGACGATGAACCGATGCTTTGAATCTGTATGTTTTGCTTACTTCTTGGCAGAAGCAACTTTTGCGAAAAATCATCTGTGATAAAATTTACCTGTGAACAGGAATCTAGCAGTGCTGTACCCAATCTGTAGCTCCCCGATGCATCACGAACGAAAATTGTTGTTGCAAGGATAACGTGATCCAACGATGAATTATTCCTGTGTATGCGCGACTGCCTCTTGTGATGTAAATAAATAAGTAGGTGTTTTTGGACTGGAGTAGAACCGCGGTGGAGTAAACTGTGGTGTTGTCGTGCACAAACCTTGCACCTGTGTGATGATGGACAGTTGGCTACTCGATGTCCCTTTGATAAGCAATTGATGCAAAGTCCAATTTTCTTTGCATGTTCGAAATGTTGAGTAATGTTCAGTGACTTAAAGCGTTCGCAATTAAAAACCTGATGGTTGTTACTGGAGCAGAAGTTACACGATATATTGGAGCAGGAAAATGTATAGCCTCTTGGTTGATTCCTTGATTTCGAATAGGAGTATTTTTTAGCACCTTGAGTTGACAACGTATTAACATCCTTGTTATCCAATGATTCCAGGTATTGGCAGTGTCTTTCCAAAACTGCGATGCAATTCTCCCATGATGGCAGCGTTCTGAAATCTAGCGATTCTTTCCACTTTTTGTTGGTCTGTTCATCAGACTTCTGCAAAATTAAATGAATAAGCATAGCTTGCGCTATTTGGCTGTCGGTACCTAGCGATGTCAAGGAACCATAAATAGCTGAAGCTTTATCAATTAAACTTCTTAGCTGAATGCCATTTGGTTTCATAACTGCTGGTAAATCAAATAACGAATTTATTCCTTCCAAAAAAATTAGTGTTTTGTTATCATACCGTACCTTCAACCGTTCTAACGCCTTCGGGTAGTTTTCATTTGTCACTTGAAACGCATTTACAGGATTCATTCACACATTCATTCTAACATTCAGAGGCTTGTCATTCTAAGGCTTGTCCTTGGAGACAATTTCGCAAATGGTTGAATTTTTCAATATTAGTTAAATTGAATTCACGATCAATTATTTGCTTGAACGAGGTGATAAAATTTTGATAATTCGAATACTTGCCACCAAACGTAGGAAGCTTAAGTGGTGGAAGTTTTGAACTTGATTGTACCACGCAAGTTGTGTCTGAAAGTGAAGCGTTGTTATCTTCTGCCAGTTGCGATTGGATAATCAATTTAGTTGTGATGTAAAGTTCTTCCAGGTCAGCACGTCCTACATCATCGGCATCCAATCTTTCGATGTCAGTTTGAATTGAGAGAATCTGCTTTAAATAAGACTCCAGGATGCCCAAACGGCATTTGTATTCCGCAGCTGAAAGAGCCTTTCCACATGGTCGCAAGCTGGCGTCGGCGATATTTTTAATGCGCGTAATATTTTTCTTGGTGCTGGCGCGTTGTTATCTTAGCTCGTCCAAAGACATTGCAGAACAGGATCTTGTATATGCTTTATAGAGGCTTCAAAATTATTTTAAATAACAATACTTCTACTTCTAGTGAGTAGTTAAGCAATAAGTGATTAGTTAATTTTACCGCAAAATTTATAAAATCAAGTTATACTTATGTGTGGGTATGCAACGAACATGCGAATATGAGCTACAGGCAATGGTAACGACGAGACTTAGCGATGGCAATCTGGTGTGCTGTGCTTTGTGCGAGCAATGCTGGTGACTTCAATGGTAAAGATTTCTAACGGTAACTAAGTTTAATGATGACAAAGTCCAATGTCGGTAATTTCCAATGACGATAATCTCCAATGACGATAATGTCCAGCGACGACAATGTCCAACGATAATATCCAATGACGATAATGTCCAACGATGCAGTCTAATACTGACCACACTCCGAAATAATTTGCGAAAGAACAAAAAACTCACTCGTGCCCCACGTTGGGCGCCAACAAATGTAGGGCTACAAAGCTTTTTTTGTAGCCGCGCAAATATCGAAAAAGCGAAATATTTAAGCGAAGTTGTAACAGCGATAAAATACAAAGGGCCGAGTAATGATGCTATGTGTGGTCAGTTATTAGACTAACTTTATTTGCAAAATTCTTCTCCTTAAGTAATATTCTAAGCACTATTGCAATACCGTTCAACACATAATTTCCGCTAAGTACATAGTTTCGTTTCTATTAGTGCATATATACATAAGTATGTAAGTTATATAAAAACAATTCATAAAAGGAGAATAACCCAAGTACATACCTTACTCTATTGCTCCTTCGTATATAATGTAGTTATTAACAAAAGAGAAATATAAAAAAAAATGGGAACGCAGCATTGCAAGAGGCTGCTTACATATTAAGCTTAGTACATGTTAAATGGGACAAGCTAATGTGCACAAACAAATATTCATATAATTGCGTGGACGAAAACATAGCGGTAGCATAAGTGTACAAAGCAAGCGCAAGCAAGCAATAAATATGTAAGTATGTACACAATGCAAATACAATTATTAACTGCATTGAGGTGACTGACTTCTAATGCTTGAATATTAGACAAATAAGTATAGAGCAAGAAATATCAAAAATATATAGAACATATGACCGTATAATGCATTGGTTATCAATCGGTGACCCAACAAACATACTTAAAAAATCGAATATGAATATATTATTTGAAAAGTAAAAAATTTTTGAAAATTTTTGAGATATACAGTTACAAAAATGTAATTAAAACGGATCTGCATAAACTTTAAGCGATTTGTAACTTTACATTACCAAAAACAGTACGACAACTTCCAAGTTTTATTGGAATGATTATAGGAAATTTATTAAGGATTTTGCAGCAATAACTGAACCATTAAACAAACATTTATCGGGAGAAAATGGACATGTATCTCAGCATATGTCAAAGAAAATTGAAGTTCGATTAGAGCAGGACGCAATTTTTTGGATTTGAAAAATTAAAACAATTACTAACCAACCAAGTAGAATTAACTCAACCAGACTTTAATAAAACATTTATATTGGCCACCGAAGCCTCAAGTGATGCATTAGGTGGTGTATTAAGCCAACATGGAAAACTTATTACATTTATCTCTAAAACATTGAATTCCACGGAAAAAAATTATGCAACAAATGAGAAAGAGCTTTATGCCATATGTCGGGCATTAAAAACTTTAAGAAACTACCTTTATGGAGTATCAGATTTAGAAATACATACAGATCACCAACCTTTGACTTTCGCAGTCTCTTCGAGAAATCCTAATTTAAAAATGAAAAGGTGGCATACCATTATTGAGAAATATGCTCCAAAAATGATTTATAAACCAGGAAAAATGTATACAGTCGCGGATGCCTTATCCCGACAAAACTTAAATAATATAACTAATGATTCGTCAGAAATGGACACACAGCATACGTCAGAGAGCTCTGATAATACACAAATTTAAGAAACTAAAAAACCATGAATCAATTTAAGCAACAAATATTTCTTAGTAAAGGTCGCTTTGCCATTCACGAATTTATTAATAGTTTTAATAAAACTTGAATAAGATACACCGGAAAATTTAATTTTAACTATTTTAAGGAATTCTTACAACCAAATCTTGCAACTGCAATATATTGTACACCTGAGGACTTATATGAAATAAAAGTTTAATTAAAGAAACATTTACTAACAAGATTCTATATACAAAAAATTTCCCCATGGATATACCAAACAAGGAAGACCAGTTAACAATAATAAAGCAAACGCATAACAAAGCGCACAGGGGTTTTGACGAAAATATTAAACAAATCTCAATTTTTTAATATTGGTCAGAAATGTATAAACAAATTAAAGAATACATTAGAAATTGTGAAATTTGTAATAAAAATAAATATGATAGACATCCCATAAAAATATCTATTGGAGAGGTCCCTATACCTAAAGAGGAGGGACATATAGATATATTATATTATATTTTATGAACAATCATTAAAATTCATTACATGTATTGATATTTATTCAAAGTTGTTGGTTCTAAGCCAATTGAAGACAAGATTAATTTAGAAGATAAAGTGTTAGAGATATTACAAGGTTTCCCAAATGTAAAGAGAATAACAATCGATACTGAAACATGATTTACTACGGTAAATTTGTTTCTGCAACCCAAATCATAGCACCACAAATGGTCAGATTGAGAGGGTACACTCGGTAACTGATAAGAAACTATCCGATGTCCTTTATAATAAGGTCAACTTTTATTAGCACAAACTAGGATGGTTTATGAACAATCATTAAAATTCATTACATGTATCGATATTTATTCAAAG